TTTCAAAAAATTCTGCTGATAGAAACATGTATTAAAAATGACATGTGATATTGTTTTAAATTTGTCCCTTAATTTTATGWTTATCAGGAATTCTACAATACTTTCAGGCACAAGGAAACAAAAAAATGGAAACAGATATTTTAGGACTGCAGGGGAAAAAAAGTGTTGCACAATAACACCATCTACACTACTCTGGATATTTTATTTTTCTATTGCATTTGCACCTCCCATTCCATACACAACATGCAGTATAAAAAGGCTTTAAAAAATAAAAGAAAAAAATCTGTGTTGATGTAGCGGCCTGTTCTGTGTGTTACAATTACTTTGTGCCCTACAACCAGCAATTAAGCCATTTTTTTTCTACACCACTGCTGTTCTCGTTTATTTTTAACCTCTGAAAATGTCCTTGCTTCCGTAAAGTGTGGGTAACACCCATTATACCTTGTTTCTGTTGCCCCACAAGAGATCACGGACACAAAGCCATTGCGCCTAGTGCACAAGCCGCGAGTTATTAGGCCCCCGTTTTTCAGAAGGGGTAAGTTGAAAGGAACACGGGGCTGCATGGTGCTTTGCTGCTGCTGGTAATGGTGATGATGATGATGATGATGATGATGAGCCTCGAATGATGTTTCTGAGGTCCGAGGAATTGTTCTTCCACCAAGAACCTGGGCTTTATCAGCATGCACTAACACCGCCTCTGTGCATTTTTCACTGGGGCACAAATCATTTTTTTATTTTTTAATTTACACTTGATCACTTTTTACACTTTACCTTGAACAAGTGTTTCTTATTTGTACGAGAATTAAGAAAACATGCTCTCACATTTACTGATGAGATTTTAGGACATAAAACACAGCTTAACATCAAACTAATATATATTTTTTTTATTGTGGATGTTTGAGATGATTTACGTCGAGAGCACACATTCACGTGTGTGCATACAGCCGTGTGTGTACGTCTGGGATGGATACACAAGTCGCAAGTGGCTCTAGTACAAAAATGAAATGTGCTCTGGGCCTTCATACCTTGTTTCTGCCTTTTCCTCTCTCTGTCTTACATCTGTTTCTGTCTGTTTCCTGAGAGCAAGGCAAAATTTCACCTGTCTGACAGCAGACACGCACYACAAACCTGAAATTTTCTCTTGTCCTCGGGAATCTGTCCGACTTTTCTGTCTCTTTCTCCGAACCTGTAACACGTCTCATCTGCTGCCCAGCCGCCCTGCTCCTCCTCTTCCTCCTTCTCCCCTGTCTTTGCTCTTCTTCCTCACAGCTCTACCTGTCTGACCTCTGACCTCATAAGACCTCATGTTGACCTCTGGGCCTCCTCTTCTTCTCTTGTCATCTTGTTTTCCCACGCTCCTCCCTCGTTCAGTCGAGTGGGGACCCTCTCCTCCTCTTTAAATACAACTCGGTGTCTACGACAGTTTGTGCACGTGCATGCTGCATGCTTTGCTGTTACAGGATCAGTGTGTATGTGTGCGTGTTTGTGTGTATCTGTAGGTGAGCCCTAACCCTCTTGACCTGGGAACTATGAGCTGAATATCTTCCAAAACAGTTGAGGAAAGGAAGAAGATGAGGGGTTATTTTATCACCACATGAAAAACCTGCAAGAATAGCTAAATTAGGGAGATTTAAAAAGTCGAAATACATTCCTACCAGGTCAGTTTCAGGTTCTTTTGATGTTTGAGGCAGGAGTTTCTATGAAAGAACGTCTGCTCTTTTTTGTTTTGGTTACTGACAACTTTTGCATGGCATGCTTTAAGTGATCTTCATATTGTACAATGTTTTCACTGTTTAATAGTTTTTCATGCAATTAACAGACAAATGCTTTATTTTGTTTTCATGTAAAATAACTGTTGTAATTTTAATTGCTGTCTCTGTAACACATGGTGTATGGAGGACCGAAACTGACATAATTAGAAATAAAAGCAGAATTATATAAATGGAGCAATAAATGAATAAATAAACTTAAAAAGCACCAACTAAAATATAAAAGGAGAACTAAGGTGGGAGGAGCTTCTTGGGTCAGCTCCTCTCCTATTGGTCAACAGACAGAAGGATCCATGTTCATARCAATTTTGCATGCTTGTGCTGATCAGTTTAGCTTAAAGTTTAAAGTTTAGTTTAAAACAAAGGCAAAGATAAAAACACTTACCTGTGCCTTTTGATTTTAACTAAACGTTCAGCTAAACTGATCAGCACAAGCATGCACAGTAGATCTGTACATGGATCCTGCTCCTTCCTGTCTGTTGACCAATAGGAATGGAGCTGACCTAGAAGAACTGCCCACCTCATTTACATAAGGAGACAGAGAAATGTAAAGGCAACACATGGAAATTAAGACTTGTGGGAAAAATTATAAAATATAATTAAATATAATCATTTGGGAGACACAAATGCAATCGTTTTTTTTAACAGTAAAATGTAAATTATGTGCTAAAATATATAATTTGTTGGAAATAAATTAGAAAAATAAATACAAAGGTCAATTAAATTATAAAACACGAGGTAAAGTTCTCCTTTTGTAATTCAATTTTTTTTAAACGTATTAATTTATTTAATGGTCCATTTATATATTTCTGCTTTTATTTCTAATGATGTCTCAGTTTCGGTCCTCCATAATGGTCAGCTTCATTGCACATAATGTTTAGCTCACAATGTGACATGATGTCGTTCATTCATGGGCAAAACTTTTAATTATGACCTTTTATTTTCATATCTTCATGTCTGATGTTTACCTGATTTATGGAACATATATTTTTAAGATCTACTGTTTTGCCCAAGTCTGAGGACAGAATCACTGGCAGCATTGTCTAAACGTTATCTGCCTGCAGGAATAGTGCTGTCAGGTGTGAGTTTGTGTGTAGTTTGGGTGATTTTTGCCGTACATTTGAACCTCACCAGTGTGTCCTCCATTTTATTTAAATTCCAGTGCAGGTTAGTGTGTTTTTGTCTGTGTGTACTGTGCTAAACACCTAGCGTCCTGTGAAGTTTTTATTTTTTCTTGGAGTTTGTTTCGTTGATTTTATTTGTGACCCACCACATGTTGTGTGTCTTACACCTGTGGGTGAGTGTGTGTTTGTGTCTGTGTGTTTAATAAACTGCAGGAGTTCGGAGACGGATAAACCCAGACTCAACTCACTCATTCAAACTGTCATTCTGACTCATTCCCTCCCTGTTCACCTCATTCTGATGCCCCTCCTCCTCCAACCATCATGGCCCTGTTCCATCCCAGAAACACACATTTTCTTTCCCAAACTTTGGGTTCATAGATCTTGAGAGGAAAGTAAGTGTTCCATAAAAACACATTTCACTCACATTTACATATCAAAATATGCAGTGCCTATAAGTTATTCACCCCCTTTGATGTTTTTTTTTTTTTTTTTTTGCTTTTATTGTTAGAGTCTGATATAAATTGGGCTTCTTTACAAAAAATATATCCAAAAAACAGTTTCTTTGATATCAAAGTAAATTAAGTGACTGCAGAAATCTTCACGTTCTTTAAAGTAACTGTCCTGGTTCAATTTAGAGAAACGATAATGGAAAAGTACAAGTTGAGATTAGTAAAAAAAATGGATTTTCAAGACCCTAAACAACCCCAGGAGTTCTGTTAAAGCCCTCATCAAGAAGTGGAAAGAATATGGGATGTGTAGATGTAAGAGCAGGTGGTCCTCAAAAATTGACTGAGTATGCAAGTAGGAGAATAGTGAGAAAGACCACCAAGATATCTGTGACCACTCTGAAGAAGTTACAAACTCCAGCAAGTTACACTGTAAAAATGAAACGTTGGATTTACTTAACCATGTTATGTGACCTGGTTCCACTTAACTGAGTTGAGTAAATTCAAAGCAATATACCAGTGTTTTAACCAAAGAACATAAGTTGTTGCTTTGAATTTACTCAACTCAGTTAAGTGGAACCAGGTCACATAACATGGTTAAGTAAATCCAACATTTCATTTTTAGAGTGTAGAAGTGAGAGACAGATGTTTCTTCATCAGTCTAAGCTTTATGGCAGGGTTATTCTACTAGCGGCCCGTGGACTTACACTGCAAAAAATGTCCATCTAACCGAGTTTTAAAATCTTATATCCAGCCAAAAAGTCCTTTTGATCTTGTTTTGAGACTGATTTACTAAACAAGAACTGATTGTATAAGAATAATCATCTTTTCTGGACGGGTTCTTCTCTAAGGAAACGTTTCGTCTCTCCTCCAAGAGACTTCTTCAGTCTGAGAGTTTCAGGCAAAATTCAGGCTTTTAAGCCCTGCCTCCATGTGACTGATACTCACATCACATGGCTATCGTGATATCACACCACCCCCTGTTCACAATAGGTGTTAATTAGGTGTCAACGATAGCCATGTGATGTGAGTATCAGTCACATGGAGGCAGTGCTTGAAAGCCTGAATTTTGCCTGAAACTCTCAGACTGAAGAAGTCTCTTGGAGGAGAGACGAAACGTTTCATTAGAGAAGAACCCGTCCAGAAGACCTATACATTTTTTTTCTTTTTTTTGATTTTTTACCTGGATTACTGAGATGCATCAGGACATTAATCATCTTGTTTTCAGAATGTGTAAGATTATTTGTCTTGTTAGTCTGAAAATTTGACTCAAATTAAGTCAAAGTATCTTCCAATGGAGTAAGAAAATTTTACTTGGTAAGTCTTCTTGAAATACTTGATTTGACTCAATTTTTTCTTATTTCAAAAATCTTACCAAGTAAAATTTTCTTACTCCACTGGCAGATATTTTGACTTAATTTGCCAATTGGTTCATTCATCTCTTAAGCTCAAACTCCCGGTTTTCTACTTTAAGTACTACTATAAGTTCTGTTAGTTAGACAGACGTGTGTGGTACAGAAACATCGGAGTCTTGGTTTAAAGCTTAGTAGAAAAAAAAAACATTTTTACGAACACGCAAGACACTTAAAACAAGCAGCTGAAGATAAAACCAAGATAAGTTAAAACACAATTGGTTTAAAAGTATGGCAAGTCAGACATGCCAAAATAATGTTTGTGTTAAATAGGAGGCTTAATATGTTGTTTTTGTTTTTGATGATGTTTTAATATTACTACTTTTATAATACTGGGTTCTGTATGTCTTTATTCATGATTAAACGCAGCAAAATTAACCAATTCAAAGGCAACATGCCTATTTAATACTTGGTTTATTTACCTAATGACTGCAAAATGCTGGATGTTTGGCCTCTGAGCTGTTGGCCTGCAGGAAGTGCGGCCGTCAGACCAAGTAGTTTGACTAAACTGTTTGGACTTCAGAACATCTAGGAAAAGAATAGAAAAGTTTCACTAATTTTACCAACTTTGTTTTTGCAGAACCTGAACCCTCTACAAGATTTGGCAAAATTTAACCACAAAACAGCAAAAAACTATGCAATTCTTCTTCTTTGTCCTTCTTCTACGTCTTCTTCTACTTACTCTTTTTTATTATTATTCTAAGGGCTTTCAGAGCAGTATAAAACTTTGCGTGTCTGGTGGTGACACTTCAGAGCAGAGAGCTTGTTTGACTGAATAGTGATCGCTTCCAAATTTTGCTGTGCTCAAATCTGCTAAGCTTCCCTTACAACCTCTATTGCTGTGTTTTCAGATGTGTTTTCTAGGGAACGTATTAGCATGTGGACAGAGGTTACCATTAGCTCTTTGAGGTGTGGGAACCACCATGGGGGTGTGTGCACCAGGGGACTTGTTTCTATCATACTTGCAGTTTTAGTTTTGTAAAATAATTTTCATCAATAAAAAAAAATCCCTCAGATTATGATTAAAAGGTTTTACCACATGGAATAAAATCCCACAGACTGTTTGACAGCCTAGAATAACAGAGCCTGCGTGTCAGAAATCAGTTATAGATCCTGTAGTTTTGTTTATCGTGTGTGCGTTTAGATGTGTGGATGTGTGTGCAGAAGGACTTTTATTTGAAATGCTTGAGGTGCAGACATGAATGCATGATTCTGATGTGCAGCTACAGTTTAAGAGAATGCAAGAGCAGCAGTAACTTGCATTTTACTCCTCAGAATCTGTAAGATGCTGCTGACTCCCGCTCAGGAACTTGTGACCCGGGTTGGAACGATAAAAATGCTTCACCACATTGGTTTTGGTAAAAAGTTGATTCCTAAAATGGAAGAAAAAAACCACATAAAAATTAAACATTTACAAAAACATGAAAACTTTTGGTGAATAATAAAATGGATGAATATCGTGCCAACCCGACATCGAGCACAAAACTCGACCTTTCTTTTGTCTTTTTTTTAGAAAAGTTTGTTTTCTGCCGATTTCACTTTCTGAACTTGACAGCAAAGCGGTGCCCCGCATCATTCACCTCACACACAACAGAAGATCCACAAAATCCCTTTTGATTTCTCACACCCTGCACATATCGCCATGTCCCAATGATAGAGACCCGCGCTGCTGCCTTTGGCATCAAACTCATCAACTTTAAATGATCGACCAGGCAGTTTAACCACAGAAAAGTCAAATTTGAAAGGAAAAATATGGGCTTGATTAAGAGTGTTTGTAAAACTTGAGTTCTGAGTTTTATCTGAAAGTAATATTCAAATAAACAAAGGAAATTGTGCAATATTAAAGTTGAGTTTGGTAATATGTCTTTTAAATGGTCAGGTTCAGACTACGTGAGTTTTGGACTTTGTTAATACCTTGGAGTTGAGATTTAAGACCTAAGATTTTAAGAAAGTTATATGCAAACTAGCAGTAAATTTTAACAACCCACAGCTGCCATATTACTGATGATTATGATTCAAAATCATAGTTTCAGCATTATTGATGAGTCCAAAATAGTTGCCAAGAAGTAGTTAAGCTTCTAAATCTTAAGGATTAATATTGGGAAAAAATGTGTAAATTTGCACTATAGAGACCATATTTTGCCATTGTGTAGTTGTAAAAAATTAATACCCTTACCTGTAGCTCATAGTGAGGAATTAAAAACCCATATAGACTTACATTTACAATCTGTTGCACCAAATTCTTATCCACGTCTTTCTATAAAATGATGTTCTGATACCTCTGGATAAATAATTCCAAATCAATGCTTAGTTTTATATAAAGTGTCCGTATTTTTCACATTTTGCTGTGTGTGCAATAAGATACCACAAAAGACTTTCTAAAATGTCCTTATGTTTATGATGCAGCCTGGTTTTAGTTTCTATTTTTTTAAACTCCTGTTGTCTGAGCCTGAACACAATGAAATTTTATTCTAGAAGATTTTTTTTAGTCCAAATTCCAAGACTCCGAGTCTTATTTATTGGGACAGGGCTGAGTCCTGCTGTTTCTCTTGCAGATTTAGAGAAACAGCCGATGTCCGACCCCCCCACCCTCCCTGTGGCTGTGCCTGCTTGGTGTTAGTCTTTCTTTTGTCTCGCCCCTGTCTTCCCTCCAGGTTATGGGCTGGTGCAGGAGGAGCTTGTGTCCCCGGCCTCCATGCAGTACAGTTTACCCTCTCCGTTAGGCGCCGAGCCCTACTGGCAGGAAGTCTCCAGCCTGGAGTGCGCGCCTATCGCCACCACAGAAGAAGACACTTTGATGGAGATGTCGGACGTCCAGGTGTGGCCGGCGGGGGTCAGCCCCTCGCTGGTCACGGTGGAGGACTCGTCCCTGGAGGGCAGCAGTCGGGCCGACGACTCTGAGGGCGCCACGCTCTCCTTACCCTGCAGCTTGGGCCGCCCGGGCAGCGGAGCCAGCGGCGCCAGCGGCTCCATCATGGAGCTGGAGGAAGAGGAGGAGGAGGAGGAGGAGGAAGGGGAGGTTGAGGAGGAGGAGGCGCCACAGGAGCCAGCGAGTGCGCTGGCGGAAAGGGACAGGGTGAGGGCCAGCGGCGCTGTTCCCAAGGTCAATCTGAACGGCCAGCTGGGAGGTCAGAGGTCAGACGTGAGGAGAGGGGAGGTGATTGGAGGAGGGACAAAAGGAGGAGCTGGAGGAGGTGTAGCGCTGGGTTCAGTGGAAGGGATTTCTCTTGTTGCAGGCCAGCAGGTGCACACCCAGCGGAGCGAGATGATGGGGGTGGTTCGGTCAGCAGAACTCAACAAAGACAACCGGTACGTCAGCCGTCAGACCTTAAAGTCAAGATGCTCCAAGTTTCTCTTCTCTCACATTTTCTCCCCCTTTTTTATGCTTTCCATCAGTGTTGAATAAAGTACCACAAAGTGATACTTGAGTAAAAGTACAAGTATCATACCAAAAAAAAAGTACTTTGGTAAAAGTTAAAGTCTCCTTTAGCAATATTACTTGAACAAAAGTCTTAAAGTATCTGATATGTTTTGTACTTAAGTATTAAAAGTAAAAGCATTGATTTAAAATGAGCAGTTAGATTTTCTGTAAGACATTTATTAGGAGGTGAGCTCCCAAAAAATGCAGAAATGACTATTTTGTAATAAAATAATTAATTAATGTTAAATTTAGGATGCACTAGTGTAGTCTGTTTCAGTTTATATACATATATCAAGGCTGCACAAACATTTTCCCCAAAATTAAAATCTATCTGAGGGCTGCAGCCAAATGCAATAATATAATTCATGAAATACAAATACTTCTTAAGTACAGTACTTTTATTTTAATGATTATGTCCTGCTGGAGTGTGACATGATTTGTTTTTGTACAAGCTAATACGGTATCAGAATTTTATATATTTATACTTRTCATTCAACCACAGTTAAATTCATTCGAAATGAGGCATAATTTGTATGGATAGTATTTATTTTTTACAATAACAAGCTGGAATAAAAACAAGCAAAATGAAATAAAAGTAATTCTACTTGTTGCCTTTTTTAAAAATGTGAGGAGTAGAAAGTACAATTATGTAAAAATGTAACAAGTAAAAGTAAAAAGTAGGCTGAAAAATAATAACTCAAGTAAAGTACAGATACCCAAAAATTCTACTTAAGTACAGTAAAGAAGTATTTGTACTTAGTTACTTTACAATTCTGCTTTCCAGGATAACAGGAGGAGGCGCGTTCCAGCCTTACATACCAGAGAAGGACTCCCTACAGGGTTGGGTGGGCTCGGTGTCCTCGGGACACGACGGGAGCGTGCCAGGCTTGCACGTGGCTCAAGAGGCCCTGCTGACTTCGGTGTGTGACACGGGTTACTCTCATGTGCTGCGGGGYCGCCTCCTGAAGGGCACGCAGCCCTTTGACAGGGGGTGGGGCTTCTCTTATCAGGAGGCGGACCAGCGGGAACAGGAGGAGTGGAGAGGCCAGGTCAGGTTGCAGTGCCGACCAGCCGCCGCTTCCTGCGCCCAGAGAAGGATTTATTTTTCATCTCCTTCTTCTTTTCTCCCCCATAAATGATAAAATTGGAATTTAGTCAATTTGATTTTTTTATTTTTATTTTTTTAATTGTGATCATCTTTAACCTTTTATTCCCAAAAATCATCAGAAGAGATGATCGATCATTACTGGTCAAGTCACAAAACACAAACCAGAACAATTTTTTTTTTCTACTGAAAAAAAAAATTATTTGGCAGAAAGATTGAGAAAATATTGTATAAATTGTCTGTATATCATTGTTGATTGTATCCTTTTTCTTTTCCAGAGAGAGCAGAAGGAGGATCATTCTGCTGAGGTGCCGTTTGTTGAAGAAAAGGGAAATGTGCTCCCAAGAAAGGTGAGTCAGATGTTTTTATCTTTCCATGGATAGTCCCACATTAACACTGTAAACTCCCAACAGACAGCTTATGACGTTGAATTAGTCACAAAGCCTGGAGCGCCCAAAGGGTAACTCACATTAAACAGTAGGTAAATGTTGATTAAGAGGTATTCTGTCTTCAAGAGATCTGAAAATAAACCAACTATGACTCAAGATAATCTGTGTGTGAAATCTTAGTGTAAAATTCTACGATTGTACAAAAAAACTGGTGTCTGATTTGATTGGTTGGTTGACCACTAAAGCAAACAAACAAAAAAAAGGCAGTGAACATGTGAGCCATAGTTAGTTTCCTGCTCTAGTTTGGTGGCTGCAGCAGTTAACTGGTCCAGGTCTTGTCTCCTTCCCTCATCCTGCCCTCCTTGCTCCAGGTGGGGGTGAATGTGAGAAAGGGTGTTCAGTCAGTGCAGCGCACCAGTCTGCGGAGGGTTAAACACTGAAATAAACACACTTCCCAGTCCTTCAGGTACGGGACACGCAACAAGCACTTGTGCATCCCAGTGCTTGGATGGTACCCTGGATAGGCCGAGCTTTTGGACCCTGAGCATAAATAGTTTTGTACAAACTGTTCTTTTTCACTCCTGATCCAAAGTAGAACCCTAAATGTACAACGCTGCTTGCAGAAGTGGCTCCCTCTTTGTGTTACCTTTGCCACACACACAAATGCTCACTCCTAATCACTCAGAGTGTGGCTTTTAACCTGCATGCTGATACCATCCAAAAGATGTGATGTCCATGATTGGATGTGTTTTATTAGAGGAGACATATCATGGAAAACATGTTTTTAGCCATTACATGTGTTTCGTTGTACCATTCTTGGAGTCTATAGGTGTGCATAAAATATGCTGTGTGGATATCTTTATATTCTGATTGGGTCATATTTTCAACCCGTTCAGTTTTCTCTATTTAATATGATATTTTCAGAACTATTACGGCAAATTATTTATGACTGAACTACCAAATAATCGTTCTCCTCTGGGTGAACATGTAAGGCTGGGTGGACAAGTCTTCCCTTGCTAACATCTTTTTTTTATTAATTTGTAAATTAAATGTTTCTACGCCACTAAATCGTCATAAACCTCTTTATCAAGCTAGATTGGACCACTCTGGAAGCTGGAGGGGGTGAGGTTTGAAGGGCCTTGTTTGGATTTAAAGAGACAGCCTCAAAACGAGTTGATCTGAGACATACAGCGGGTAAAATAAGTATTGAACACGTCAACATTTTTCTCAGTAAATATATTACTAGAGGTGCTAATGACATGAAATTTTCACCAGTTGTCGGTAACAACCCAAGTGATCCATACATACAAAGAAATCAAACCATAAATGTCCAGAAATGAAGTTATTTGTAATAATGTGGAATGGCACAGGGAAAATTATTGAACACATGAAGGGAGGTGTAAAAAGGCATGGAAAGACAAGACACCAGCTGAACTCTCTCAGTAATTAGAAAGCAAGCCTGCCCCTTGTCAGTGCAAGTTAATATCAGCTGGTTCAGTCCCAAATGATGGTCAGGTATCACACAATAACCATCTGATGATGGGTAAAAGTAAAGAGCTCTCTCAAGACCTTCACAACCTTATTGTTGCAAAGCATAATGATGGCATCGGTTACAGAAGAATGTCTAAACTTCTGAAGGTTCCAGTGAGCACTGTTGGGGCCATAATTCAGAAGTGGAAAGAACATTATTTCACCATAAACTGACCACGACCAGGTGCTCCTCACAAGATTTCTGACAGAGGAGTGAAAAGAATTTTCAGAAGAGTTGTCCAAGAGCCAAGGACCACTTGTGGAGAGCTTCAGAAAGACCTGGAATTAGCAGGTATGATTGTTTCAAAGAAAACAATAAGTAATGCACTGAACCACCATGGCCTGTATGCACGCTCACCACGCAAGACTCCACTGCTGAAGAAACAGCATGTTGAAGCTCCTTTAAAGTCTGCTGCACAACATTTAAACAAGCCTGTGTAATACTGGGAGAATATAGTCTGGTCAGATGAGACCAACATTGAACTGTTTGGATGCCAGAATACACATCATGTTTGGAGGTCAAATGGCACTGCACATCAGCCCAAAAACACCATACCAACAGTYAAGTTTGGAGGTGGGAACATCATGGTGTGGGGCTGTTTTTCAGCATATGGTACTGGCAAACTTCAAATAATTGAAGGAAGGATGAGTGGAAAAATGTACAGAGATATTCTTGATAAAAATCTGCTTCCATCTACCAGGATGATGAAGATGAAACGTGGCTGGACATTTCAGCAAGACAATGAGCCCAAACACAAAGCCAAGGAAACTCTCAGTTGGTTTCAGWGAAAGAAACTAAAGCTGCTGGAATGGCCCAGCCAATCACCTGACCTGAATCCAACAGAAAATCTATGGAAAGAACTAAAGATCAGAGTTCATAGAAGAGGTCCACGAAACCTTCAAGATTTGAAGACTGTTTGTGTGGAAGAATGGGCCAAAATCACACCTGAGCAATGCATGCCACTAGTTTCTCCATACAGGAGGCATCTTGAAGCTGTCATTGACAACAAAGGCTTTTGTACAAAGTTTTAGATAAATTTCAGTAAGTGTGTTCAATACTTTTTCCCTGTGCCATTCCACATTATTACAAATAACTTCATTTCTGGACATTTATGGTTTGATTTCTTTGTATGTATGGATCACTTGGGTTGTTACCAACATCTGGTGAAAATTTCATGTCATTAGCACCTCTAGTAATATATTTACTGAGAAAAATGTTGACGTGTTCAATACTTATTTTACCCGCTGTACCTCAGAAAAAAGTGAAAAGGGGGCTTGTAGAGTAACAAGGAGGAATTCAGACCAAAGCATTGCAGTTCCACTTTATATAGAACCCATTTGAGTGATTTAAATGTGGAAAAGAAGGGTTCAAAAACATGATAGGTCTCCTTTAATTAATCTGCTAATCACATATCTGTACACACAAGCTCAGTCTTTTTTTTTTCTTTCACCTGTGTGGCTCTAATGCACCCCCGTACTTTTTGTCTCTCATTTCCCTTTTTAATTATTTTTCTAAAGTTCTTTATTATTTTCTCTTTTTTAAAAGCCAAAGTTACAGTGTGTGTATGACTACTGCTTTTGTATTTCTTTGTTTAGGACCGGAAAGCCACTGCCAAAACGTCCACTAAAACACGACCGGACCGAAGAGGAAAATGAGCAGAGAGGAGAAGAAGAGATGATAAAACAAAGAAAAAAACAACTAAAAGGACAAACTGAATCATCCTCAAATCTGTGATAATGAATCATCACAAAAAAGAAGACAATGAAAAAAAAGAGGAGTTCAAGTTGTAGTTTTTTAATATTTGTAAAGAAAAATATCAACTAAACTAAGGCATGAAGATACATTTTTATACAAAAAAAAACGTAAATGTTCGTAAAACACCTAAGAAAAAAAAAAAAGCAACAAAGTGCTTCCTGTGAACTGTAATCGCATGATGACTGCTGGTGCATGCCCTTTGACCTTTTGAACTGTCATTATCTACAAACTAAAGGGGTATACGGTACAACCTACGGACCTTCTCCTCTTCCACAGGAGTGGTGTGTGTCAGCAAGTTGAAAACGGTGCAGCCAAAAAAAAAAAAGTTCCTCAAAGGATGGTTGTGTTTGCAGCAAAGCCTCTGCTGAGCCTAAAAAAATACGTCTTTCACCGAATTCTTTCCCTTAATAATCCTAATGTGATATATGCACTGTATGCTACGTGGACACGTGTCGGTGTGTATGTGTGCCTGTAAATTCGCTCTACTGCATGAGTTTCTTGCTTCTGGGTTGGGAGMGAGCCACGTCCCGCCATCGGCTTGTTGTCTCTGTGATGTCACGGCGCGCTRAGTGGTGCGAAGCGCCGCTGCTCTTCCCTGCTTGTGAGTTCTTGTCCGCGTGTGCCAGAATTTTTTTCTTTTTTTTTTTCTTTTTGTCGATTTATAAAATCTTGCTTCCACTTCGGTTCTCCGGCGTTGCTTCAGTGGAGAACTGAACCTCTGTCAGCTTTGTGTTTTCAGGAGAAATGTGTTTTCAAGACAGCAGAATGTTTCCTTTGGGYAAAAAAATTGGTAGCTTCACTGCTTTGTACAGCAGCAAACACTAACTTTTTTGTTTTGTTTTTACAACCTTTCTAATCCTGTTTTCTGGCGTAGCATATCTCATTTTTATCAGTAGCCCTGATTATATGCAGTAAACTCACACACCCCTTCTTTCAGTTTTGTGCTGCAGCACCTCACTGTCTAAGTTTAGAGCAAAGTGGAGGAAAAAAAAACAGAATTTCTAAAGAATTTCTGGCTTGTGTCAGGTTGTGTTCMGCTACAGCAGCTTGTGACGATGAGGGGAAAACTGTGCGGCGAGGACAAACAGGTGGGCACTGTGACTGTCTGACCCCAGACTCGTGAACTGCCAATGCACACATTTCCATTTAATCCYAGCGAAAGCACACGCAAACCCGATGACCAGTTATCAAATCGTCCGACGGCTTTGCTGCAGCAATAATTTCAAACAAGAAGAAAAGGTGAAACCCTGGTTTGGGGGTGCGAGAATGAAAAACCGAACCCCTCGGTGAAAGCGAAGACTCCGTCTGGACGCTTTCGAGTTTGATGTTGCAGCTGAGCCGCGCCCAAATGCTTTCCATTAGTTTTGACATGAACCAGCTTGAAAGCACTGACTCACTGATGCAAGACAGGATGACTCGGTTGCAGCAGTGTGGGACTAAGGCCAGTAAGGTTTTTATTTTATTTTATTTTAGCACCAAACGTAGCAACATGAAAAATCCTGATATGTTCCATATTTTGAGACTCTGGTTCCTACTCTTAGCATTTTATTCACAGAAAACATTTTACTTTGTCTTAAAGGTCTTAAAATGTCTTTTATTTTTTAAACCGACTTGTATTATTACTGCTTATCATTTAATACTTTATGCAGAAACCTGATGGCAGCACTATGTAAGCATTGTATCATAGTAGCACACATTTCTGGAACACATGATTTAACCCGTAAGTACTGTAAACGCTACTGTAGCCAGGATGATTGTGGCACCGAATGAATGAACACCTACCTTATATGTCACACGAATGCATCATTTCAATCCTCATCTCCATTCAAGTGAACCTCATTCAATAACGGCACGTTTTTTGAACATTTTACACTCAGGTTTTTTCGTTCTGCTCCGTCAGAAGCTGGTTTGAATTTCCCGTTTGTCCTCTGGAAGACACAGGTGGAAGATAAAAAAAAGTGGGATTAAATGAGTGCATGGGAGTTATGTTCATGAAGCAGAAACGTTTGTTACGAGAATATGTGCTTTAAAGTCTGATAAGACCAAAAAACGGAGAGTTGAATGTGTCAGATATCTCCTGTTCGAGGCAGCACTGACGCCACCATCAGCTGCTTCTATCGTCCGTTTTTACAAGAGATGAGCGAAACTGAACCAAACCGTTAGTGTGACACAAGAGTTAAATTTGATGAATGTTAAGTTGGTTCTGATGACATGTACGTCTTTTTATGGAGGTTTTTGTAGTGTTGGATGTCATTTATTCTTAATCTCACCGTGTCAGCATTCCTGCTGGGAAAAAAAAAAGTCAACTAGATGAGAGAAGTAAACAAACAGTTTACTAAAATTTTGTACTTGATGATATAAGATAAAGGATTGCACAATCATTTAGCTGATTTTTATTCATAATCCTATTTAAAGTAGCAAAGTCGTCCAAATGTATCAAATATAACAATAAAAAAAATTGAATAAAAAGTTTTAATCATTTGAAATTATGTTYGAAATTTACATTTTGAAGCTCACAAAGAAATAGGTCAAAATTTTAAGTGGGATTATGCAGAAAAGTTATGTATAATTATATCTTATGTTGTTGCTTTGATCAGCTTCAGTTTGGTCGTTCATAAAWAGTAATATGCAAACGCTTTTACAAATATCATTGCTGACAAATCATTTAAGCACGTTCATGAGTTCATTTCAAACGATATTAAAATGACAAATAATTATAACTTTGATCTCACTGAAATCAAGTTTTGGTCCCATTTTCACGATTCAAACCGTACAAAATTATGTTTGTTTTTTTTTTAAACTATGGTAGTTCCACTTTGACAAGGATTTTAACGAGAAAGAAAGTGTCAGATTTGTTTTAAAAACAAGATACTGTTCACTCTGTTCAACCCACCGTCAACATGTTTGTGTGTAAGTGTGTGTGTGCATGCGACGCTCYGTTCCAAATGTTGTTGGATAAAAGAAGGGGTAAAAAAGAGAAACTTTTGTACCCGGCATGTGAGTGAAGATGATGTGTAACCTTCGATGGTGTACTTAAAAAAATCAAAAACAAAGAGTATTGTATAATTTTAACTGTTGCAAAGAATAGAGCTCACCTATTCTCCTTTAGACTGGATACATGACAATGTAAACGCAATATCATATTACTCTATCCTAAGGAATGCAACTGCACACATGCACAAAAAGAAACGTTTTTATGAAAATGTATGTATAAATATATGACAAAATATATTTCATTAGAATGCTATGCACCCTCATAGAGTTGTTATGGATGTTCTTTAAGCATTAWCTAGTCCAACGCCCACTTCATGGGGAATGTAGAGGCTTTGTAGCTCGGACCATTTGTTTTCTTTCTTTTGTATTTCCCTGAGGAGAAGACAAACAAAGGTGAACATGTATACAAGCCTTTCGATCAGAATTCTTCTGACATGAAGATATGTATAAATCATGTTACCCTGTACACCAGCTCTAACCATTTACAAGACTTAATAAACAAACAAGATGGAACATGATGTTGTGGTGTTTTGGTCGAAAGTGAAATGAGAGCGAGGCATGAACTGTTGTCATAAAGGGCCATCCCTACCGCCAAGTTGATTCCGTAGGCTTACTGTATGTTAATTTGCTAAATCTCACTGACAGTTTTTAAACATTTAACATACCAAATTATTTATTTAAATTGTTTTTATCTTTAGAAACCAGGTTGCCCAATTAAATTAGTTATCAATATAATTACAATATCATCATACCTGCCAACATTTTCTGACAGCAATGAGGAACACCTGTTCATGTTAATGAGCGGCTGTGGAGTGGAGCAGTTATAGGGGTCCAGGGTTATCCTTCCCCAGAAAATTTTGTAAACGATCTATTCCAAACTCTGCGTTTTCCAGCCAATTGAAAAGCATATTGCTAAATTTGGGGGATTAATACAACAACATAAAATTAGTATTTTATGAAGGTAGAACAGTGAAAACATGACTTTATCTGAGATCACAACTAAAAATTGTTTATTTCTTTTAATTTTGATGATTATAACTGACAACTAATGAAAATGCCAAATTCAGTATCTCAGAAAATTAGAATATTATTTAAGACCAACAAACAAAAAAGGGTTTTTAGAAATGTTGGCCAACTGAAAAGTATGAACACGAACAGTGTGAGCATGTACAGCACTCAGTGGGGCTTCTTTTGCCTGGATTACTGCAGCAATGTGGCGTGGCATGGAGTCCATCAGTCRGTGGCACTGAGGTGTTATGAGAGRCCAGGTTCCTCTGGTAGTAGCCTTCAGCTCTTCTGATATGGTGCGTCTGGCGTATCCCATCTTTCTCTTCACAATACCCCATAGGGGCTTATTTTGAAAACTAGGGTGTCAAGACAACTTCCTCCAGTTCTCATCTTTAGTTTGACACCTGTACAAAAAATGAAAAAAAAATGTCAAAAGGCTTTTAAACAAAATAAGTTTGTGCGGTAGCCTGTCACTCAAAACTGTAACAGCATCAGTGCTGAATAACTGCATTTCAAGTTCAAATTTGTATTCATTTAATTCACAACAAAACAATACAATGAAAAAATAAAATGAAAGGCAGCAGAAGAAGAGACAATTTCTTATGTCTGCTCCTTTAAATATATATATATATATATATTAAACTGGAATCAATAAATACTGCACTTATTTGCCTATTTTTCTTACTGCTGAAAGTAACATGTATTAAAGTTAAATAGTGGTGAGACAAAATCATAAGTTTGCACCTCCACTTTAAAAAATGGTGGTGCAGCTGCTCCACTTATTGTATTGATCAGGGACTCATGCATGGATGTCTGCATGGTGATTTTGTTACACTTTGTTCCAGAGCAGAAAAAATATACTTTCATAAAACATGTGCATAATTGTTTACATTGTTTGTGCTTTTTGAAGGTAATATTAGGATACAAATACACATAACTGCAAAGCAGGCTACAATACTTGAACCCCTGTATTGTCCAGTTTAACATAATTCTTTTTCATATCCTGACTTCTTCATGCAGACATCTGTGAACAGCTGCAGAAAGGACTGCAGTGTCTATATTTACCCACTTGGTGGAAGTGTTTAATCAGCAACAGTTTCTGCCAATAAATAAACACTTACTGTACATCTAAATGTAATCTGCTGTTTATTCAGGCAGTTTGTCAGCAATGTTAAAGTAGCATCATTGCAAACACACCTGTCCACTTAGACGTCACTTTATCATATGACCATATATGAGCAACATAAATAATGATTTTGCCTTGAGTTTGATGTAATTAGCATTTCCTGTTTTGAGCGAGCTGGAATCATTGATTAGTTCAATGTCACAGCTGCTCATATTGCCTCTCCTTTATGATTGCTCCTATAAATAAACTACCCATAAATTGTTTTATGTGAAATCAGCAAATGAAGTTTCAGTTGTGTGTCTTTTTTGTCCTACAAAAAAAGACCAAGTGCTTCTATCTTTGATTTTTTTTTTT